ATTCCAGTATTAAGGAGAAAATGTTGCAACTGCAAGATTTCACAAATTACTAATTGTGATGGCATACAGTGCCCCGAATCCTTTAAGTTCAACATTATATTGTATTTACAGCTTCTTTGTTCAGTTCTAGAGTATTTTCCATTTTAGGAAGGAAAGAAATCTACTCAAGTTTAGAATCAAATAAACCCCACAATTCTAAAATACAGTTAGCTGATAGCATTTTGTAGACAATGAGTTAGATTAAGTGGTTTCTCTGTTATTCTATTTTTCTCTACATTGCAGAGTTGCCAAAGCTGATCTGATAAAAGAAGACTGACATGGAGAACGAGAAACTGTGTAATCTTCCCATCTCACTTACCACTTTCAGATACAAAGGAGTAAAACTGGAACCTGTCTCCCCCGCCCAGAATTTTTATGTGCCAAAAAAAACCCCAACAAAACAAAACAAAGCACGCTGAATTTTTAGCTTTTCAGGGATGCAATATTAAACAATGTCATTAAAAATAAGTTGACTTTTTTAAAAAATAAATTCCTTTGCTGTTTAAAAAAAAAAAGCAAAAGCAGAGCTGTTGTTTACTTTTATCTCTGTTTATGGAGACTGTAGCTTAGCAATGTGAGCTGAAGCATTTTTTATAACACTGTCAAGAGTGTGTCTTGCCTGTAAACTCAGACATCATACCTAAACCCCTAAGTGTATCCATAAAACAAAAAGCTGTATTGCAGTACAGTCAAGATATTTTCCTTGAAGGATTCCTTTCAAAGCTAGTTCTGCCTTAGCTTAGCAACAAACTTCATCAGAAAAACAGATGGTAGAGGACACCACTGAACGTATGTCCCAGCTTATACACATGTGGGTTTTCCATACTCCTGGAGCTGACTGATGAAGTCTGCTCTGAAGCTGCTGGGAGCATGGAGAACCATGGGCCCAAGAATTCTGAGAAACAAAATGTATTAGAAGAAATACAAAGAAATCACTGTCCTATTTTATCTCATTCTCTTTGAACATCAACTAACAGGCTAAAAAACTTTGCCCTAAATCAATACTCCAGTAATTACACTTCACTAGACTCATTCAAGGTCACAAAGAGCCAATGGTGACAAACTGCTATAAAATCCCACTGTATCTTTTATACCTGTTTTGATGCTTATCTCTCTGAGTCATTGATTTAATCTTCCTTTTGAATTATTTAAAAATTCATCATAATTTAAGGCATCACCAATGAGTACAGTGAAACTTGCTCCCAGGGCATGTTTCAAACATGCTGTACTAAAGCAGATACACCATCTGCTGTTTAAAGGGCTCCAAGACAGCTTTCTGTTAGTTAAATTCCTACAACTACTGGATAAAGTACTACTGCCAAGAGGAATTCTGTTGGCTCCCTCTGAGGCTATACAGGGTACAGGCATCAGGAGTAATGAGACTTGCAAGAGCTATGAACAAAGTAAAACGTTACCCTTGAAATCAAGACAATGATTATTTAAGTCTGAGCTTCAATAGAAACATCACTGTTTTCACAGAAACATCTACTAATATATTTACACTATTCTCCCAAACTAGACTGCTGTCTGTGTTTTCCCACGTGCCAGCAGACCCAGTTGCTTGGCTTTGAGCTGCCAAGATTTTTAGTTTCACTCTGTTATAACTCAAACAGATGTAGGCATTTTACACTCAGAATTTTACAACCCATGATGTTCACTCTTTATAGACACAAAAAAATGAAGTATTGTAGAATTACTGTACTGATTGCATTATTTACTTTTATGTTTAACTGTAAAACTTTCCATTTCAAATGTATTTCAGAGTGGTCAAAGACCCCTTTGCCTTATATTGCAATGTTCTACCCATATCCACCTCCAAAAAGTAATCAAATTTGATACTGTATCAAGAAGATCTTTCATGACACAGATTTTATGAGACTGTCTTAGCTTAGCCCTCTTCATGTGTAATGATGGAGTGAGGAGAGGCTGCAGTACCACACTGAGAAGGCACAGAGGAGGAATTTGTGCCAGTATTTGCCAGTTCAAAAACATAAACTCAGAAGACCCAACTTTACCAAGCCAAAGCTGAATGACGGAGAAATATAATTCTGAAGGAGTTCTGCTGACTTTGGGATGAGTAGCAATCCACAGAAATGCTTCAGTACAGACAAAGCCATCTTCCTTAAGTGACAGTGTTGTCCATGAATGGATGTTTCACTGTAATAAAATGGGTAAACTAAATGGTCTCCTGCCCTGGCCGTTTTTGCATAGCCTTTCTTCTCTCTTTAATAATATAGAGCCATAAATCTAGTAAGAGAAGACTGTATATTTAATACCTTGAAGACATTACATTTTATGACTGAATTTCCATCTTTCCTGTGATTGTTAACTCTCAAAGTATGCAAAGCTGGGAAATGAAGAAGCTTTTTCTAAGAGTGTGTTACAATCCTGGCACATACAACCTTCGTTCTACTGCCTTCCAACAAAGATTTCCATGTTCAAGCAGATGTCTTTCAGTATTTTGGTCTCAAACAAACCAGACACATTCAGTTCCTCAGCACCTACAGTTTCAAAAAGGGACTTCTAGGCATCTGAACAAAAAGATAAATGAACTGTGCATTGCTGTATATATACTACATTTAATGAGCCAAAGCCAGGCCTTGCTGTTACGAAGCAAGACCTCAGAGGGCAAGACAACTGATGCACTCCAGCTGTGCAGGGCACTAGACGAGATCTGTGACAACAGCAGCAAAAGACTTGGAAGACACCTTCACTTTTTGCACAGTGAGTGCTCTGCAGGTTCCCATCTACAATGTGGATTGGTTATAATGCTCCAGTCAGAGTGTGGTTGTGCTGACAGAACACACATCTGAAACCAAGAGTGGAACGGCTGGATGCGCTGCGAGTCAATGGCCATTTATTAAATCCTCACAAAAAACAGGGAGAATTTGTCTCTGTGTTGTTAGACAAAGATGATTTCACTTTAGCCCTGCTGAATCTGAAATGCAGCTTTGCTACTGCAATAAATATTTGCCTGAGACATTTCCATAATTTAATCATATTTTCAGCTGCTCAGTAACAGTTCAGTGCCAGTCCTTGCTATTAAGGAGCTTGCTCTTTGCTCCTCTTTGCTCCTCTTTTGTCATAACTGTAAATATTGAATCTGCCAGCCAAGTAATGTACAGCTGTTAATGCCCTGCACGAAGGGATAGCAGAGGCTGTCCGTACCACTACAAGCCACATGTGAGCAGAGCCCTTTTCTCTGGGGAGCTCAGCTGAGCTGCAGGCAGCAGGCACTCATATTCCCACGCACTACCTTAGAAGCAGCACTGCTGCACCCACTACTAAACAGTTTTATGGATTTTTTTCAAGAGAAGAGTCAGACTCTATATATCTACAAGGAGACTGTATGCTAAAGAAAACATTTTTAATTAAAATCACAGTAGAATTAAAGTTCACAAGGTCACTGCGAAAGCAAAGAAACATGAGCTTCTACTGTCTATAAACTCTGACGTCTGTACACAGACAAACCAATTACCCATCACTATAAACAACCACAGACAGTTCCTACTTCATCACTGGATAAAGCAAAATGCACCTGCTCCCTTCCCTTTAATGGTAAGGCAACTCCTACCATGAAACCGCCTTCTTTCAATGATTAAAGAACTACAAGGCAAGTGCCAGTAATAAAGTTATATTTTTTTCCTCCTGTAATCTAATCTTTGCCCTGTAGAAACTGCTGATGAGCTCAGTTCCACTTAAAATTTACATAGAAACAATCCATATCATGTTGCATGGAAAAGGACTGTTGCCCCAGTGTTTACTGGCCCGGTGATACAAGGAATGAGAAATTACTCGGACGCAAAAACGATGTACAGCATTGTATTAGAATCAAACAGGCTTTGATGCATGGTTGCTATTTTTGGAAGCTAATGATCTGTGAGTGATAAAGCAAATGAACTTTTTAATGATGACAAATACAGGAGAATGTACAGCACCGAGTAGAGAACACGATGTCAAATGAAGAAAGATTTATGGGAGCTAATTATGGTACATAAGATTTATAATGGAAAAAAGAGGAGAATAGGAAAAACTTGTAGAAGATCTTGTGTGTGTCCAGCTGGAATAACAATTTGCTTTCAGACAAAGAGATGGACTGTATAGTTTACTACATGCTTCTAGTTGATACTTATATTGCTTTGGTATTTATATGCATATAAAGCCTAAGACATGCAGGATTTTATGCCATTTAAAACAAACTAGCTATAGAAAAAAACTTGCTACAGAAAAAATGTAGTTTTTTAACTAGTGTGAAAATAAGCAAATAAATAGTATTTTATTGATATTAAATCTATGGGATATTTTTCAGTTAATTGTATGGCAAAACTGGCAGGGTGATGTTTCCACAATTAAAATTTCACTGCACTCTTAAAAATTTTTGAAGAGATTCCCACGCATTGACCTAAGATCCATCAGTGTCAATTAAAATTCAATGGACTAAATACACTATTGACAGCAAAGTTTGTCAACAGAAGCTAATGTAATAATGAAAGAAATTGATTTGTGGTATTTCAGATCTCATGACCAAAAATACATTAAAGAGGACGAAGAAGTCACAACATTTAAGGCAAACTTCGGGCCGGAGGGTCAGTCAGCATTTTGCAAGACAGGAATGGGAGAGGGTCAGAAAACATCCCCGCCAGCTGAGCTCAGCCTTCCCGAAAGAAGTTGGGCTGGTGGGAGCACAGGCCTGTTCACCTCAATCTAATTCACACCTTTGACAAACCTGGAAATGTCGACGGCGAAGGAACCACTTGTGCACATAGAAACCCGTGTCCATGTCCCACTACGTACCTTTCGCCTCTAAATTAGACGCCTTTTTTGCTTCAGATTAAGCGTTTCCCTTCGCCTGCTCTCAGGAAAACAAGCTCCGGAGGACACACGGGGAAGCAAAGCCCCCCGCCCCCGACGGCCGCGGCTTGGCCAGAGAGAGTAGCTTCCCGGCGGGTCTCCCCCTGCCTTCACTCACCTGGAGCCCGCAAGAGGGGCGAGGCGGCGCAGCCCTGGCGGCCCGGGCGGCCCGCAGGGGAGCGGTGCCTGCAGGGGAGCGGTGCCCGCGGCCGGCAGCGCCCGGGAGGCCACGGGGAGCGGGAGGATCGGGCGGCACCGACCCATCCGAGCCGCGGACCTGCCGCCACCTGCCCGCGGCCCTGCCCCGCTCCTCCCGCCAGCCCCGCCGCCACCTGCGGCGCAGGGCCCGCCCGCGGCCGCGGGGCCAAAGGCGAGGCGGGCCGGCCGCGCTGCCCCGGGGGCGGGCGGGGTGCGGCGCCCAGGTGTTTTCCGCCTGGGCACAACACTGACCGCGCCGGGTGTGAGGAGAATGAGCGGAACGGGCGCTGTGAGGGGCCGATTTCACCGTTTTCCGCCTCGGCTTTCCTTTCCACTTCGCCCACCCGTAGTGGCTGAAGGTAGCGACGAGCCATCTCCAGGTTTTTGCTGGAGCGACTTAAAGACTGTTGGAGGTGGCGGGATAGTTGGAGCGTGTAGCTACAGTCAGGATGTTTGCAGGGTTATCAGAGTGAAAGGCTCCAGCTGAAATTGCTTGCAGCTGTGAATAGTCGTGCATTTGGATCTTCAAATGGTGTGTTTGAAGCTTAGCTTCCATGCAAGAGGTGAGAAAGGATGGATGGACAAACTGGCCGGAAGAACTGACAAAAATAACCTCGAGTAGTTTCCCACTTTGGCATCTATCTATTTCAATAAAATTCTCTCAAACTTGTGAGTTCTGATTTCAGTATGAGCCAGTGAGTCTGAGGACAACAGTTCTGGATAGAAAATAGAGGTGTTGCCTGAAAAAGGAATGACCACCGCGCTACATTGTCTTGTAGTCCAAGGTAGAAGTGTTAGAATGAAAAATTATGTGGAGGTTGTTTGTTTCTTAGGGCGGTGGTAAGGGAAGCAGAAATGAAAATGGAAAGCTGGTGCACACTAACTCAGTCTTAAGATGAAAAATCATTTCCACGTTACTTCTAGAGCAGCCACTCTGGGTCAAAAAAGAAATTCAATTATAGGTTTTATTTCTGCCAAGTAGCATTGTTTTAAAAATGTTCATGCTATACTGGCAAAAGTGATTTCATAAAATATTACTATGTGCAGGAAAGACATACCCTTGTGTAAAGCAAATCTGAGAAGCACATTGTTCACCTGCTCAGTTGCACTGCAGCTCTGACAACATTTTCTGCTTTGTGTACTCTATATAATTGCTTGGGTGTAGGCTGCATTCAAGATAAAAAATGTTTGTTCTTCTCCCACCTCAGGAAATAAAAACACTGAAAATATAATGCAGAAGAGAAGCATAAGCTAGGAAACTTAAAACTAACCTTAGACTTTTGCATCTGCTGAAATAAATTACTAAGCTGCTTTGTGGATTTTAATAAAAATCAAATGTGGGGCGGCCTAGAGAAAAATCTAATTGCAATACTTTAGAGAGGTAAAAAAAAAACCATTGGATGGAAACATCATTTTAGGCCATGTCTTCAAATATAATGTTTTAATTATAAGTAAATTTTGTTTTTTCAAAGTTTATTAATAAAAAATCTGATCCGCGTCATGAAATAAGGTTATATGTTTTGATATAGTCAATCCAAGTGGAGTCACATGAAAATTTTATCAGTCTAATTAAGCTCTTTCCCTTCTGTCTGGAAAGTGTCCAAAACGTAAAACTAACTGAAATATCTTTCCATGTGTTCAGATAACTGTGCATGTTAATACCACAAAGCTATGTATGATTCATTCATCTTCATTTCACATACTCCCTCTGCTGGGAATTAGCATGAAGGTTCAGTGGATCAGAGAAAGGATCATTAAGAGAGCAAGATACATTAAAAACTCTCTTTTGCTTCTTTCATTAAAAGATCACACTTCTTTACAGACCGTCCCATCTATATCAGTAAATCAATTTGTATTCCTTGTTGCAAGGCTATTCATACCAAAATCACTTCGATGTGGAAGGAGAAACTAATGCAAAGTAACTAGTTAAATATTCCATATATAGTCACTTTTTATGCATTCCATTGTATAATTTAAGATCTGCTAGTATCAAAAATTAAATGAATATACAAAAGCAACTGAGTAACAGAACTGCAAAAGTATCTTTGATGCTGATAGACATGTGGCTAATACTCCACTGTCTACACTGACACCAATGGGATTAAGTTGCTCTGAGAAGAAATGAGGTGATAGAATAAAAAACTCAGCTGTAGTATTACCAAAGAATACCCCACACCATGGAGGAGCTGCTCGTGGGCAGAGCTGTCTCTCTGCAGCACTGCCTGCTTGCCAGGAGTTCCCTCTGTCCCAGGAGCCCAGCCCAGCTCGGGAGCACAGCAACAGCCCAAGGCATGTAGCGACCCTCTGGTGGATTTGGTGCTGAGTCCCTGGACCTCAGGCCCTGAGGAAAATTGCAGGAACGTCTTGAGAAACCAAAGTTTTTCTAGTCAAAGACTAAAACCACTTGCTAAAATCTCTCACTAAAACCTCTCCTGTGAGGAAAGGCTGAGAGAATTGGGATTGCTCTGCCTGGAAAAGAGAAGGCTTCGGGGTGACCTAATTGTGGCCTTCCAGTACCTGAAAAGGAGGGAGAGGGACTTTTTATAGAGGCAGACAGTGACAGGACAAGGGGCAATGCTTTTAAACTGGAGGAGGGCAGGTTTAGACTAGGTGTTAGGAAAACATTTTTTACTCAGAGGGTGTTGGCACTGGAACAGATTGACCAGAGAAATTGTGAATGCCCCATCCCTGGAAGTGTTTAAGTCCAGGTTGGATGGAGCTTTGAGCAACCTGGTCTAGAGAAAGGTGTCCCTGCCCATGATAGTGGGGTTGGAACAAAATGGTCTTTAAGGTCCCTTCCAACCCAATCCATTCTATGAATCTATGATTCATTCTAAATCTGGTTTTCTTTGAGTGGAAAAAGCAGGATAAATCACATAGATACAAGGCTCCAAATGCTCCTGAAAGGTTGCTTGCATAGATTTTACAAGAAGCAGGGAAATATTTCTACCCAGCAACACACCATGAATTCTTCCTCTTTGGTGGGACTGTACTGTAGTGGGGATACTATTCTGTATGCATAGTAACTCCTGCTTCTTCTAGTATGAAGAAAAAAGATACTAAAGAGGGAGGATACCAGAGCACTGAATTATTTCTTCTACAAACCCCATAAACCAGTTATGCTCAAGTGAAATACCTTCTACTGAGTAGTGGCGACAGTTTCCATTGCCACAGGTAAGCAGACTTATTTGGAAACAACTCCATAACCAGTGGGTAGAAATTAGAGAAATATTGCTGCAGAAGAGCATGAATACTTTTGAAAATTCTATGGTTTCTTTGTTACGCAAAACAGATAATTGTAGATCATAACAGTATAGCTGAGTTTAAAACACTCTTATTTCATATAAAGCCAAATTGTATTTTCAGGTTTGCCTGTGTAAAAATGTTGTGGTAAAAGGCAATTTAAATATATATATAAAAATCAGGTATAGCATTGTTCACGTTTGCAAATAAGTGCCACAAGTATAAACAAATGATAAACAGATTCCTTTTGTATGCTTGTTTCCAATCAAAATATTGTAACTAAGCAATGACAAGAAAATCACCCTACCACAAGTAACCCACATTATGAGGAAATAGATACTACCACGAAGTGTGTAACACATCTCAGGTTGGGCATAAACAATAGTAATTACTGGGTATTGAAAAAATTAAGACATTATGGATTAGAGAGTTTACAACCCAACGTAAAGAACTGTAAAGATTCCGAGCTTATCATCTATCCATACTTAAGGACAAATTTTCATATTCAGTCATAGTCTGAAGATTTTGGAGCAGTACATTTCCCCACCAAGAAATTCCCCACCAAGAAACATTGTTGCAGTCCTCTTGGGCTAGCTATTACTACAGACATTGCCAAAAAGCAAGGTTTTTTGCCAAACGAAAAGGTATTATTTGCAAACTTCAGTAAATTTAATTAATTCTTTAATTTTTTCTTTCTTTCAGTTTCTGACGTAGGTCAGATGCAGGCGGATTGCCACTACAATCATCCTGCTCTCTGAATATACTCACTTAAATGATTTTTTTTCTTGAACATCAAAAATTTTGCAGCAATTAATTGCTGTCAGAAGTCACTTGAAGTCTATATCTTGTCATCATTGACAAAAGTTCCTTTGGGTCCATCCATGACATGATGATCCCTTTGCAATTTGCCTGCAGAAAATTAAGGCTTTCATTTCCATAACATTTTTTTAAGGAAAGGCTAACCCTAATAAAAAAGGCTATTACTTTACCTGGGTACTTGACAAAAAGCAAGCTTATTACATGTTGGTATTTACAATCTCATGTTCCTTTATTTCTCTTTGTGTAAGAAAGAATTTTAAAGTCCAAATTGCTTAAGAATCTTCTGCTTTTACTTCGTAGGTGAGTACCTCTTTATTGACTTCCTTATTATCTTACATGGAAAAGCATCATTATTGCAACTAAGGAATGACATCTTAGGACATTGGCATCTGCACTCCCCAAAAGAACTCATTTTTATCTGTTCTAACTACATCTAATATCTGCTTCTCATCTTCCAGATATGGGTATTAGTTTTATAGACTAAGATCACATTCCTCAAACTTTTTTATGATCACCTTCTAAAAAAATAATCAATATGGCAATATGATTTCAAAACAACAAATCACTTTCTCATCTTCTGGGATGATGAGATGATTATCTTCTCTTATCTAGGAAAAGTGTACAATATGCCTTTTAATAACTGCATAATATGGCAATGGTTAATGTCATTATATCTGCTCTATTTCAAATACAGCACATAGATTTCCCAGATGATTTATAGGAGAGAAGTTTACATATTCTCTTGCATATAAAGTGTGAAAATATAGAACATAGACAAATGCTATGACATATACTGCAGAAATTCTGAGCAAGTTTAAGTGGTAATAACTACCACCAAACAGACTCATACTAAAGAACTCTAAGTAGAAACTTTGTGCAGTTTTAATAAAATTCTTAGAAGTCAAACGCACCTCTAGTATGTATTGAAACATACAAAATCCCACATATCTTTACAGATGAATATCAAAAAACGTGGCATCCTCTGGCATTAGTATCTTATTTATCCAAATTAATAAGTTAGGTTTGAAGAGGAAAAAACCCCACTACATTCTTCCTATCTTGAGATGGCACAGCATTCTCACAAGCATAAGACTCATATAGTTCAGCAAAAATACATTGAAATCATAACACCTTAATATAGACTTTTTTTTCCTAATAAAGTTTCATACTGTCATTTTCTTTTCTTATTTTTCAGGTAACTTTTTCAAAACCTTTTAAAATCATGCATGCTTTTAAAATCAAAACACACTAGTGTTTTACTTTCCTAAAGGTAAAGTCAATGGAACTTGCTTATTTCTGTTTACTGAGATGGGCCACCTCACACAATAATAGAAGAGCTGGGAGAGGGGTGGGAGAAGGAGCTGTCTAGACTGATTTCTTCCCCCGGAACAATGTTGAGTGTTAAAAAACCTGTGCAAGCATTTGTGAAATAGATTTGATGAAATTTAGCATTCAAGAGGGAAAAATTGTAATTAAATCAGCATTAAACTTTAACTCTCCAGATGTTGTGCAGAACCTTCACAAGCCATTGTGGATATAACAGTCTAAGTCCTTGAAACTAGAATCTCTAGAAAGAAAAAGAAAAGAAATTTAATTTGTTTCATGTTCAGTGAATACAGAAATACATTCTGATGTTTCCGTGTGCAAAATTTTAAGGTTTGTATTCTGGAAGCACTTTGAGCAGGCTTCCCATAACAGTCAGTCCAGATCATTTGACGGATTAGATTTTATTGTACGAAAGTGTGATAGCGCTCTTTGATGTGAAAGACAAGCTTTGGGCTCCTATCACTTAAGACAATCAAACAGAAAATGTCTTTCCCACCAGGTTTGCAAGACAAACTGCAAGGCACATCCTTTTCACTTTACTGGAACAAGGAGTTTCACAGAACAAAGATAGAAGAATAAAAAATTTACTGTCCAATTTACTTCTGATATCACATTCTCAATGAAAGAATAAAAAGGTGACTGTCTGCTTCATCTCCCATCACAGTCTGTCTGCTGAAATTGCACGAAAACCCTGGAGATGAGGAAGTGCATTAGTGGTGATTCCAGCACTGCTATCTCATTATACTTCATGTACTGCAGAGTCACACATTAACTGTGGAAGAAGCCTCTCCAGTTTGTAGTACTCGTTTCTACAATATCTTTTCCCTGTTAACTTGTCGTCAAGCAACTGAAAAATGAAATTTCCCCTCCCAGAAGACTATTTCTAGGTGTTCTGCTTTAAATACAATAGGAACTTACACCTAGATCATGTTTCATCAATTCCCCATATATCTATTTTAAAAGTCTTAATTCTTTAATTCTGCTGATGATTATACCCAAATATCTGCACTAACATTCTTGCTTTTATTTTCAGGAAATATCTTAAATTGATTTTTCTTTCTTTCTGATCTCAGTGAATTTTCCAAATCTTTCTAGAGAAAGATTAACTGGGAGGGAAATTATGTCATCATTCATAAATATTTCAGGCATTTATACTATTCCATCTTTTTCTTGATACAGACTCTAAGTTCTAGACATAAGATTTATCAAGAACTTTAATACTGTGGACATTAGAGGACTCAGCCAGATATAGGCAAATCAAATGTAAATCACTTATACAAAGCAGACAGTTACAGATTCAGATCTCTGCTCTATCTCAGGAGAGCCTTATGAAACAGGCTATTTTATTCATCACTGTATCACTACACTACACAAACCTAATAAATTCTTTCCACTTAAGCTTTTGAAATTTAACACTGACTGCCAGTGTTTCAGTTTTTATTGCATGTTTTTTTAAATGAAAACAATCCCAAACCATTTAGCATAAACAAGTAAATAAGTAGTGTTCAAGACCAGGGTGCATGGGGCATCGAGCAACCTGGTCGAGTGGAAGGTGTCCCTGCCCGTGGAAGGTGTGTTGGAGCTAGATGGTCTTTAATGTCCCTTCCAAGCAAAACCATTTTGTGATTCTAGGATTCTCCAAGTCTGAAACAACCCTAGTCCTTCCCACTTAGACAAAAAAAAGTATAACAAAGAGCTGGATGAGGAAAAAAGTTATGAATAGCATTGGTTATATATCTTGAGCTCTGAAAACAATCAAGCAGAAGAAAAATTGAGTTCATTTCCATGGATTTAATTGAGAAAGAATTAGCTTAAACCGTCTAAAGATTTTAAGCAAATGAAGTATTTATACCTAGCTCACTTATTTAATTTTTAGTCCTTACTTAAACTTATTGTATCCTAGGAATGTGCAAAAGCAGATCATGTCATGTAAGGCCAGCCAGGACAAAAATAACAAATCAAAACAAAACAACAAAACACCAAGCAAAAATCCCCTGCAAAACAAACAAAAAAACCCCAAACAAAACCAAACAAGATGTAGGTTGAATTCCTAATCTATTTTGTAGAAGATTAGTCTTCATTTGGTATTTAGCCAGAAGTTTACTAATTAGAATGGAATTCTATCACCCTGAAAAGGGAGTAATGCAAATACAAAAAGAACCTTAATTGTTAGTATTGGTGTGGTGACTACATGGATCGCACCCTCTTTTCTTTATAAGTATCACAAGTAGGAAGTGTTATGGTAATTAAAAGAAAATGCAACTGTTCCAAATAATGCTTCTTTCAAAAGTTTAAGAGCTACACTGTACTCAGACTAAGGAGAAGTAGACACAGTTCTATCAGAGGAACAAAACCTTGCTATCAAGGTCTGGCAATAGCTTCAAAATCACTGTCTTGCTCAGCTGTGTTTTTTTACTAAGGGCACCAGAACCAGCTCACTGACTCAAAGGAAACCTGTCTCATATTGTTAGGACCTATTATTAGAACTTAGCGGAGCCTTTGATAGCAATCAAATGCCAAAGGTAATGATCTTAGTTAACAAATTAGACTTGGAAGTACATTATCATCTCAAAAGCAGAAATTATTTCCTGCAAGTCGTGAATTGAGACCTTTTTTCCTCCTCAATTGGCAATATTTTTTTAATGCATGCTGCCATAAATCTACCAAAAAAGCATGATGCAACATGCATGCAGCTACCAAGCTGAGACTGAAACTGTCAGGGGAGTAGCTCCATATTGTGGAAACTCCATTCCACTAATTGTTAAAAAGAAAGCTGGGCTTGCTCCTCCTCAGGATTACAAGTACTTGAAAACTTAAAGAATGCATTTATGTTTCTTGTAAAAATGTTCACATATATAGAGTAAAAACTATTAGAAAACTAGAAGAAGAAAGACTGGATAATTAAGAGCTTTTATGTAGGAAAGATGAAAATATTTACATATAAACCTTGTGTAAAACAGTGGCCAGTCAAGATTTTCTGTAGCATTATTTCTATTACTGTTTTAAGAATTTTTGACTACAGCATCCTGGTGCAAGTAATTGCTGTTTACTATATACTTTTGATACAATTCAGTAAAATAAAAGAAAAGGAATATCATCAAAAGATTATGGTCCTGAATCTTCTTGTAACCTTTCTTGCATAAATGTAATTCCATGGAATTCAGTCAATATTTCAATAAGAAATATCAGAGTTTATGCTTTTATTTTTATTTCCCTCCCCAGTGTTTGGAACTTAAATATTGTGGAACCACCTACCCTTCCAGGGGCCAGTTCAGAGACCGATGAGGAGATCGAGGATGGGAATGTTCAGGTGATGATGTTCTTAATGTAGAGCTTAACTGATACAAATTTGTACAATTCTGGCATTGAAGCTTCTGCATTTCCCTAACAACACAGTATTTTACTATGACAAAGCACTTTTCAAAAAACATTAAAATGTCACTATGAGCTTTTTTTTTTCTATTTAAGATTGTCAGCTTTTAAATTTTATTTTATATTAAAAGGAAATGTGGTTTTCATCATATACTTCTCTGAAAGACAGATTAGTGACTCTATTACTCTCTTACTCAGACTTAATTCTATATATCCATTGTCTTAATCTTCTTTGAAAGACAGAAGTTAGCCATGGTTGCTGCAGGTTAAACTCTAAAATCTGCAAAAATTTCCAGGGATGAAGAGCTTAGATTTAAGGTTATTCAAAAGTAAGAACAGCGCTGTTTGCGGTATTCTTGTGTTATTTGAGTTGGCAAGGCCAGTGGACTAGAGTCTGAAGTGCCTGAAACAGATGGATATTTAAGAGATGCTGGACTCCCCAGTAGGAAAGTTGCAAAATGGTAGTCTAGTCATTTTGACTGCTAGGCATGGGGCCTGGATAGTGGATCAATCCATAACTCCTGTATCTGGGTGTATGAGAAGGAAGTATGTGGGATTGGATAATGCACTGGAAAATTTTGGAGGTACATGCTCATGTGAGATCCTCATTTCAGGCTGTCAGTTGTTTACATAAGGAGAATCTAGTCTGTGTTGGATTGGGAAACTAATAGATAGGGTGGCTACAACAACCCCTGAGTTCCAGTGTGCCTTAGCCGTTTCCACACAGCTACCCTTCGAGTAGACCACTGAAGCAGGTCACCAAAACCTGCAGGGGAACGATCAGATCCAGCACCAGCTCATGGAGCTGAATCTCCAGGCAATAAAAGGGCTTGCTCTAGCAAGTGGAGCCCAGTGAGCCATTAGGAATCTTCCAGCCAGGTACCACCATCCCACAACCTGGTGAGGTATCACATACACTGTAAAGTCTATGGAACCAGATTTATCTGCATTGACTGTGAGCCTTACTAGCATTGTTGCTTTTAATATGCTCATGTTGCACTATCTGTAATGGTAAAGAAGGTGCTGAAAATTGTAGGAAGTCAGAGTACAGCTGCTTGCACTTCTCCCAGGTAACACTGGGTATGAATGTAGCAGCCAAACTGACCAATGGGGAAAGGGAGGTACAAAGGCAGCAAAAATGATGGTCAAGAAACAGAAAGGGATAAAAAGTTCCACAGGTCATGCACCTGAGGCTGTCCAGGGGTACCTGACCTGACAGTCAGTCTCTGTGCTTGGTCACCACAGCCAGGACAGGACAATAAATCAAACCTGTTGTTTCCACGGGAGTCCAAACTGCTTCTGCAGTCAGTAAGATGGGAGGGATGAGAAGGTGCTTTTCCTGACTGGTGAAGAAAAAGCTAGGCAGATGGATTAAGCCTCCTGGTATCACTGTGTTGGTGCTCATTGGTTGCTGACAGTGTTGACACTTCCACCTCCTAACCTCAGGCATTAGTTCATTCTGCATCAAGGCAGTAAATCAATACAAGGGGAAGCCGTATTAGGAGCAGCTGAGGTGGCTTGGTCTGTTCAGCCTGGAGAAGAGGAAACTGACTGAGGGGAGACCTCATTGCAGTCTACAACTTTCTCATGAGAAGGAGAGGCAGACACTGATCCCTTCTCTGTGGTGACCAGTGACAGGATCCGAGGGAACGGCCTGAAGCTGTGGCAGAGGAGGTTTAGGTTGGATATTAGGAAAAGGTTCTTCACCCAGAGGGGGGTTGAGCACTGGAACAGGCTCCCCAGGGAAGTAGTCGCAGCACCAAGCCTGACAGAGTTCGAGAAGTGTTTGGATGATATGCTTGGGCACATGGTGTGACTCTTTGAGATGGTCCTGTGCAGGACTAAGGGTTGAAGTCGATGATCCTTGCGAATCCCTTCCAGCTCGGCATAGTCTGTGATTCTGTGACTAGCTAAGTCAATGTTATAATAAGGATGTCATATACCCACTTCTTTAAACTAACTACAAAACCCCAGTCAGTACTCACCTCTGTTGCTTCCGTTATATACTATCATGATACTGACTTTAATAATACTTTAATAATATTTTTCCTATATGGCTAATTTTCTGGTTTTCATTTGCCAGTACCAGAAAAATAGAAGCCAGCTTGGATTTTTAATTCCCTTCCCTGTAAGCAAGAGACAGAGATACCTTCTCTTGCATGACCTTCTGAGAGAAAACAGAAAAGAAATAGAATTCTTGTAATCTTTGCAAGGGCATTGAAGGTCCACTGTTATGATTTTTTTAAAAGGCCAAAGAAGAAAAAAGCTGTGGTCTTTTAAAGAGGGCTAAATCTAATGGCAGCCCCAGATTTTTATATGAGAACATTTCAGTCTTTGCTGTGTAAGATTTCTGCACACTGCTTTTGCAACTGACTTACAGACAGCTTAATGGAATGTAGATTTGTTTTTTCCAAGGCAATTCAGGTAATTATGTTTGTAATTCTCCAGAAGTAGAAGATAAATTCTCTTCAAGAATGAAAAATGGTGATCTTTGTTTCAGCATAGGCTCAGTCTAATATTTGTTTTTCTAACTAATTGTAAACTAAGTGATTATATTGCAACTGTAAGCAACCATGTGAATTATCCTTGACTAGGAGAAGAGATTAAGTGTGGAGGCTATTGCAACTTTCTGCCAAGTGAACACTGCAAGAAGAAACACTTGCAGTCCCTATCAGGGAATACCCATACACCATGAGATGGATGCATTCACACAGGGGAAGTAGGGAAGTTCTTTTAAAACAAAGGTTCTCCTCTATTAGCATACAGTCTGGCTCATTCTATGCAGCTGGGGAAGCACAAATTATGCCACCTTTTAAACTGACTTCCACATCTAACACAAAAATTTTGTAGTTTTTGCCCTTGATTCAGGGTAAATGAGAATCCAATTTGAAACTGAAACTGAGAAATTTAAGAAATTCATCTTTAAAAGACCTAACTTCAGGTATAGAGATGCCCCCTCTGAAACCCTTGTCCTTACTTATGAGAGAACAGAATATCAACAAAGTAATTTACTACAGTTGAGACACCTGATTCTCACACCCGTGCTATAATCACATCACTCTGCTTCTTTTAGCCCTCTATTTACATACCCCAAAATAAAACCCAACATTGTAATATTTTATCCTCAATACATCCATAAAATAGAGAAGTTCTGTGTTTAAGAGATAAGAAACCTATTTAAGACACAAAGACTATGTAGATAAACTAAGTCGTGAAGCAGGTCAGGGACCATTCTCTGGTGCTGTGGCCAAATCATATGAAACAGTTTCTACATGTTGTTAGACTATCTTCTTACAAAATTTAATATAAAATATTTGGACATATTGCCATTTGGGAACCACCCCTAGCACCTCAAGGAGTACCTGGGAGAATGGGGGTTGGTACAGGCTAAAATCATTCCAGAGGGTATAGAGAACTAGTAGTCTATAAAGCTCTTGTATAAACGACTAGTCACCTTGACTTTCACTATAGATCTAGACAGGCATCCATATGAGTGAAGACAGACGAGCATCTTCAAGAAAATCACCCATCCCATCCTAATTCAGGCTATTCCAGTTGATCTCACTGTCTCATTCTGTTGGCTATACAGGGAACCTATACAACTAATTTAGACAGCATGTATAACAGCTAAACAGACTAAATTTAGAGACATGAATAGTCTCCAAGCATAAAGGAGACATACAGCAAAGCAAACACAAACTTTGCCGTTTATCTGAGTAATTAGTCTAAGTCTCAGTACTATATTGCATTTCACCCCAATTAGCTGCAGGAATCACAATACAAAAACATATACTTGCCTTTCAAAGCATTCACTCTCCAGCTGTCTTTTGGTGATATCCAGTTCTGCCTCAAGCTCAGCTGCTCTATTTCTGAGGTGAGTAAAATCTTGACTCTGCACAGCACTGTGAAGTCCATACACTTTAATTAGATAGCAACTGTAATCCTCCAAGCCACATACAATTATCCAAAATTAAAAGGGCAGCTATATTATGCAACTGAGATTAAGAACATTTTTTTTGAGCAAAATATAACACTATGCAGGAAAGTCTATTAGAGTATAGCTTAAGAATCAAAAGCAGGTTTTTGGTATCTTCTGCTATTAAGGTAGCCAGGTACATTGGCCATTTGAAAATGCAGGTAGATATAAAACCATCTCTATTTATATACCCTTGTAAAGAATGAGAACAACTGCAATACTCTCCTGGTCATTTACTCACAGATGATTTTTCTCTAAAGCAAGCTGTTCCTTGAGAAACTGAAATTCAGAGTCTTTCTCTTGCTTTGCTATCTGTGACTGAAATTCTTTCTCACAACTGGACACAAGCAAAGATTCCAGGTTTTTCATAGATGCTCTTTCATTTCCCACTTGTTTTCTCAGCAGCTCTGTTTCAGAATGGGATGACTCACACTTACTCTGCACCTAAACAAAGATTTTAAGTTTCAGATGTGTGTCTATTAAGCTTAATGGCATTTTATCAGGGTAACCTTTACAAAAAAATAAAAAGATAAATATAAAAAAGGAAGTCTGGGATCAATGACAAAATTTGCTTTCACTCCCAGATGGATAATTAGTGCTATATTTTCCTAGTTAAAATCCTGCCGGATTTACAAATTCATTCAATGTATATATCTGAATATAAGTGTACTTGATACAAATGACAAAATGCTATGAAATATATGTATCAATGGATTCTGTAGACAGAATCATTAAAGAACAGGAAGTAAGTTTCACATTTTGTTGAGGCAAGAAACTGTTGATTAACTATTTGCATGCAGGAAATAACACCTGATAAAACAAACCAGTATCAGCATCATCAGCAGAGTGAGAAGGCACTTAATTTGCTTAAAGGAGCATCAAGAGTAAACCGAGGGGGAAGGAAAATTAATAAAATACAAACCAAGATATTAAGTATCTACATATCTTGGGGAAATCTATAAAAGAAGAATACCCATAAAATCTAGTGTATTCCACTGCCAAGGGAAAGATGGACATAGCTGAGACATAGCTACATTGCTATTTTCCCTTCGTCTTTTCTTTGCATGTATGCATTTTAGTCTGTCTAACTCAGTCTGTTTGGGGTGCTGCAAACACTTTTATCTGTATTTTACGCAAGCCTAGTTTACATTACACACAATAATGCTCAGCCAAAGGTCATGGGAAATCTGTGGACTGCGACATCTTAACAAACACTCACCTCTCCAGCACATTCCTCAGAATTTTCAGAGGATAATAATTTTTGTGTTCAAAGAAGGAAGATACTGGGAGAACTCAGATCATAGGCCAACAGGGAGGGGGGAAAGAAAAAAAAAAGAAAAAAGCATTTTTCACTTACCAAAGCAAAACTCAATTTTTTTCTCTTACCAAACTAAACTGAAAGGTTTCTTCATTATGAAAGATCCCATTTTCTATGAACTGTCACTCAAAAAATCTAGTTCTTTTGCAGAGAAACAGTTTTGATATTCTACATTTGTATTTCAGAACAAAATAACACTGAAAACTTCAGGTTTAGTTTCCGCTTCTGAATATACATATGCTGCAATCTAGTAATGCAGATTCTGCACTGGAATACTATTTAAAATAAGACCCCTATCTGAAGGTTATACATGACTGATGAAAGATTACTGGTTGAAAGATATGGAAAAATTCATGAAAATTCCCCAACTGCAGACTTTTCTCCAGCTCTCCAACTGCATTTCTGCATTTTTCTTTCCCAAAACTGTTGCTGTTCTCCACAGTCCCAGCAATCCCCTCCACAGACAATCTCACAAAAGGATCCAGGGAGGCTTAATCATATTAGATCTCATAAAAGTGTCAGATAAATGTCATATGCTGGAACTCTTCCCTATCAAAACAATCACAGAGGATTCCACAAGCATACAAAAGACATCACACACATGTGGCTAGAACACATAACCAACTGTCTAACATCACCTTTACCCATGATGGATGCAAAAGGCATAAGGGTTTAAAGAGAATGCTGGAAGCCTGTAAAGAACAAGAAATTATCTCAGCTGGAGCAGAGGATGGACAGGTCAGTGACAGAATCGTACTGAAAATATCTAAATAATCTAGGTATGTATGAACAATTTTTCAAAGTTTATCCAAGCTTAGGTTTTAAAAATTTATCTATCAAATATTAATTTTGTAGTTTTTGTAAAAATCAAGGTCAACAAAAATTTCAAGGGAAATTAAGAAAATATTAAAGATATTAATACTTCATAAAACAGTCGGTCATTTTAAGGTCCATGTCAAGTTTCATTGCTAATAAACAACTCCAGCTATTCTGCTCACTTACTGACTAGATGTAAAATGCAAGATATCTTTCATGAAAACAACCAGTAATTTTAAGCCCTGACTTTTGAGTATTCATAGTCAAGCCTTGCAAAGCAGTGTCCTTTTCAAAGAGTATACAGCACATAAACTTTGAGGACTAAGCCCCTGAGAAATGCCAAATTAAACATTAAAAAATTGAAAAATCGATCATCCATGATCCCAAAGTATATGTAGATCCCTTAAGTATAACATAAGTTAACATAAACTTGTTTTTCTAATTATATTTCACATACCCTTTCTACTTTTTCTGCTGTGGAAGTTAAATGCTAATTTAATCGTTGACTCCATCTAATTTAATGTAAAGTTTTTGTATAGATGTGAGATTTGCAAGTATAGGGACTCTCCCAATGTATATTTTGAAGCTCTCTATCCATTTTCAGAAGAGACTTGCTTAACACAGAAATATGAGACTTGTATGCTGCTTCTGTTGGCAAATGCTACAGTAAAGCAATATCAGATAATCAAAATGCTACTGCAAAAAAATTTACAAAAATCCTACAAAATATCTCTGTGTGAATTTCAAGAGGCAGCAGTAATTTATTCTAGAATAAACCATAAAGTTATTTCTTTAAATAACTCCTGTATGTAAAAACTAGAAGAGTTCTTGCTACTGACAGCAAAATTAGCTACTGACATTTTAAACTCTACTCCTAGAATTCTACTCCTTCTGCAGAGCTAATAAGGTTGAAAATTCTGCCATGGGTCGCATTTCATTTTCAAATGAGATCCTCTTATTTTAGCAATAAAATGTGGTTTTGAATGTAGCTGATCTGTAAATGCTGAGATTCTGTCAGTCATATTTATACTGCTGTCACCTGTAAACTGAGGCATGACTATGAGATGACAAAGTCACATTAAAGAGGAGTCCACAAGTTAGCAGCAGCAGTTCTGACTAAAAGCATTAAGAATTTCATGAGCTTAAAATTAACTCAACCTAGGATTTTCCTCTTTGAAAAATGCCTGTACTTTGCCCAGTGATACTTGTATTCCTGGTCAGTCACTTTTAACTTCTTAATTTTCAGTGGGTGGCAGAATGGATCTGGGAGATTAGTAGAGCAAAGTGAAAGGTAAAGCACTGTGATTTTCTTGAAGACTTTATTAAAAATTACATCCCAAGAGATGATTGTATGAGGAACATATCACATTAACTCTAGCTCTGTCTTACCTAAGAAAAGCACAAGGAACACAGAGAACTGCTGAACACATTAAGATTTTTGAACAAAAACCTCTGTGCTTTGTATGTGTGCCTTGCAAGTAACTGCTATGAAACTGAATATGACATCTGGAATTCTGATCCAATATGTTGACACAGTTTTCATGAAGAGGCCTGTTTACTCCTGTATTTAATAGCAGGTGTATGGGGTGGAATTAGAAGGATGAAATATCTTCTGGTTTGAGGCTTTCTGGACAAACTAGGACCATGTGCCATTTTTATTATTTTTTTCAAAGAAAAGTCAAAATCTGCCACACAATCTTCCTGTGGTGTTGCTGTTCTGTTATTGTTACATTCTCATCCACTTTCTGACAGCAACAGTTTGGTTCTCTTGAGTATCTAATGTGCTTAAGTAGCCCTCGGTAGCTTATATGATATTCATGAAGGACAGGTGATCTGCAACTAAAACTGGGAAAACCCCAAACCACGTGTATATGTTTGCAGAATATTTCCAAAGCCATGCTGTGAATTTCTCTAAGTTCTTCAGTTCTTCTTTTCAAGTGGGAAGAGGCTCTTTGGGACACCTAAAAGAAGGTTGAAAAGCTGGAAGCAAGAAGAAGAGCAGGGACAGGAACATAATAGATGACAAAGCACTGGATACGTTTCAGGTATGCTGTGGAATTGTGTGTGACTTTATGCCTTCAGTGATTCCAAATATAAGAGCATTTTACTTTTTGTTTTCCTTGAAATTTGCTATTATCTTCCAAGATCTCTTTTCTCAAGTGTGACTAGTGAAGATCTAATCATATTATTATATAAAGTTAAAACCTATACAGTTCATGGCAGCAAATCTCTCTAAAACATAAGAATTTGCATTAAACATAACTTAAAAATACTACCAGACCATTTCAAGGCTGAACTATGGAAAGAAAGGTTTCAACTCACTTGCTCTATCTGTGTTCCAAGGGACTCTATTTTCTCTTTCAACCTGATCAGTGCCAGTCTAACAGAGGAAAAGCCTGCTTCTGCTTGACAGCATTTTGCTTCCCAACTTTCTCTTTGTTCACAGGCCTTGTGGTAATTCTCCAAGAGCTCACAGTTCTCTCTCTCCTAACTCATAAAGCTTGTTTATTTAATAATTTATAGTAAGCTCCACAAAATAGGGATAGCTATAGATCTACAGGTATGGTATTGGATATTCTATTTCCACTGAAAATTTAGCCTCTTGGCCAAAACATTGAGACACTTTTTAAGAACCAGAGTTTTGTTCAAGAAGACTACATTTTATGAACAAAAGACATCTGTTAAAAATGTCTAGGTTAATGTTAGAAATACAAGGTATAGCAATGTAGCACAATAATATTTTTTTTACTTTAATCCCAGAGTTCAAAGCCTCTGTATTACTCACTGTCTAAATTTATAAGTTTAATAAACACACAGACGGATGAGTGTGTATATATAGAAGCACAATGAAATATATTGCATTGATTGTGTACTGCAAAAATAGCCATGAAAATGTGTCCAAGCTAATAAAACCAAATTAATAGAATGCAAATAAGTTTTGGCTAGGAAGCAAATTTTTCCCTGGAGATATCGCTAAAATTTTATTTTTAGTTAAAAAACAACAGCTTTTACTAACAGTTTTAATTTATATACTCACCTTAGACTTCAGTACATTCTTCAGCCTGAGTGTATCTGTGTTTGAATCCTGGGCCTTCAACTTCATATAATCAAGATTGTTTTGGTACTTTGCTAGTTTTTTATGTAGTACCTATGAAGACAGTTTCTTTTCATGAGGTTAGAGCATACTGCTTATACCTTTACAAAAAACCACAGAAAAATAGTGTGTACCTAAGGTCCATGGCTTTATTAACTGGTTTTTAAAAGGCTATATAAAATCTAAATTATTTGTACTTCTATACACCAAATTTTTCACTTGTCAAAAGTAATTTGTTTCTTTGACTTATAGATAATGCTAAATCTTCCTAAGAAGAAAAATGTCTATAAAGAAATGAAGCATTTAAGAAGAAAAATACAGATGGTTTATTTAGCAGCCAAATTGTCATAAAACAATTTAAGAAGCAGAGCTCAGTTAGCTCCCTTTTTTTAAACATTCTAGTCTTTTAAAAGCCCACATTTTAAAAAGAAGACAGATAAAAATTTTAATTAAGTGGTCTAATTATTCATTAATTGCTTATATCTTAATTAATTAAGTGCTTATCTCCTAATCAGGAAAATTAAAGCCAGAAGTATTAGAAGGACACACAGAGAATTTCTGGCAACTATTGCTTGAGAAAGAGAACAGAACGAGGAAAAAAAATGCAGAAAGGCTGTCTTGAACTGCACTGTTCAGAAACTTTTTCTTTCATATAAAATTATTAGGAAAACATTCATCTGCAAGAACTGGGGGCAAGTGTGTGCATGGGGGTGATGTGGTGTGTAGAAGGGTATGAAGAAACTCCTGTTCCTGTTGCAGAAGGGCTGTGAGTTGCTGAGAAAGGTGCTCTGAAAAATCTGTCAACTTTTCCAGTAAGCCCAAATGTAGAAATGAGAATGCTCCTTTAAATACATAGAGTAACACCTCAATTAATGGAATAATCTAGAGGAGCCAATACACATTATAGAGGCAAGCCTTTTAAAAGCACTTGATCGTGTAAGACTGAGATTTTTGTTTCTAACTTTTTCTACAAGCATCCAGGCATTGCAAAGAAAACCATGACGTTTTCAAAAGCAGCTAGGAGCAACAGGAGGCATCATCAGTATCAACCGTGCTTCTGAGAGAAGGTGAAGCATAGTGATTCCCTGGAGAGTCTTTGGTGGTTAAAGCTGCTTCAAACCTTGCCTTTTCTTGGATACTCAGGGAGGGCACCAAAGTGAAACAGGTAGGATGTTTGAGAGAAGTTATTTAGAAGGCAAGTTGTCTCACCTAATTTTTGCAGCAAAGAATTAGGCACCAATCTAAAGTCATTAGCTACACTGCCTCTTCAGTGATGGGAGAGAGGCAGGTAATATTAATTACTTTAAAAACTGGAATGGGATGAATCTTCTGGAGGAATTTTCTTCACTTAAAAGGGAGCCTTAATGACTTAAAGGTTTTATATACTTAGGATCAGGTGCAGTTATTTTGCTCCTTTCAAACTAAATAGCACTTCTAGAGGAAGAGAAAACCAGGTGAGTAGTAGACTAAGTGCAGAGAAGAAAGATCAAGTATCAGAAAAACTAAATGAAGGCAAGAAGCTGAAGAAAAAGAAGAAAACAAGAACATTACATAGGGACGAACTACTACAGGTATTGAGCTTAATTTCTAGCTGCTTGGAAAATGCTGGTGCAGGAGTATTATGTGTGCATGAGATGGCACTTTAAATATTTTAATTACTTCCACTAGGAACTGCACAGATATAATTAACACAGTAGACAATGTAAGGTTGTATTACAACCAACTATTTCCATTATCTTTTATCCAAAAGCCACTTTTAAGGAAACATACATCAATAAAATGCTATTAATAACATTTAGAACCTTGTTAAAATGTGTAATGTGTTACATTATTAGCAGGTGAAAGTAATAAGCTTTTAAGTACTCTAGACCGGTCACAGCACAGTATAAGGAACACTCACTGCTTCCTTTATAGTACTTTTCCATACAAGCGATAGTTACAGCTGGCACATTGTTTTTACTTTTACATTAATTAGCTGTTCCTCAAGATAAATATCTAAACCATTACATAAGAATAGCTGGTTCTCTTCATACAAGTGAGCTGAGCAATAAAGGAAAAATCAGAGTTTGAAACACAATCTTAAAGCTAGTTTGCAGATTTACTTCAAATGAGGACCCACCAATTTCCTGTGCTACTTGAAAAAGGCACCATTTTTTCTTTTTAGTCAAGGGTTCTTGGTACAAACATACCTGAATTTCTTGCTTAATATTAGAGAGATGCTCCTGTAACCTGTCATTCTCCTGAGCTAATCATACTCTGTTCTTGTTGGTCTGTGTGAGTTCTTTGTTGGTTTCTTATAGCTGTTGATGCAAACTGGTGATATGCTCCTCACAGATGGAGAGTGCTTCAGCAGATGTCCTATGCAGCAAATAAAAAATTCTTCAGGTATGACACTACTGCCCAACTGAATACAAATGACAGCTTTTCCAGTGGTTAAGTTTTCAAGTCAGGAAAGAAAGCTGTAACATTTTGATATTAATTTGAGTAAAAGAAATTTCTACATTGGTACATCCTATGATTCATTTTTTTATTTAATGCTATAAATTAATCACAATTTGATAATAATGTTGACATTTCTTACTTTGTGGAATGCTCCAACTCAGAAATCAGAATCTTGAAATCTGAAATTATTTTCTCCTGGAAAAGAAATACAGAATTAAAATAAACCTCTCACCACTCCTCAGTATAAATGGAAGAAAAAAATTGAGCAATATTATTTATATCTTTTTTTTTTTCAACTAGCTGATTATTTTAACTATTTAATGCAAAATGGATTGTGATTTTCCAAGCTTCATCATGTACTATTTAGATTTGAAAATTCTTTTCTTTTTTTTTAATTTGGGAAACAGAAGAACAAATGATATCTGAGTGAAAGCCCTGGCTGGTCTGGATGGTTGTGAAGGGCTGTTAGAAATCCTGATTCCAACTCTGCCCCCTGAAAGAAAAGCTGTCCATATAACTCTTACATTCTCACAGTATTGAGAATGTAAGGGTTATATGGACCCAGGGCTGACACATTCTTGAGGGAACTGGTGGATGAAGTGGCTAAGCCACTATCTGTCATATTTGAGAAGTTGCGGCAATCTGGTGAAGTTCCCACTGAATGGAAAAAAGAAAGCATAAATTCCCCATTTTTAAAAAAGGGAAATAAGGAAGACCCAGGGAACTGCAGGCAGTCTCACTTCGGTACCTTGGCAAGATCATGGAGCAGATCCTCCTGGAAACTATGCTAAAGCACATGGAAAATAAGGAATTGACTGGTGACAGCCAACATGTCCTTCACTAAGGACAAATCGTGCCTGACAAATTTGGTGGCCTTCTACATAGGGGTTACAGCAGTGGTGGATGAGGGAAGCGCAACTGATGTCATCTAGCCAGATTTGTGCAAAGCATTTGACACTGTCCCGCACAACATCCCTGTCTCTAATCTGGAGAGATGTGGATTTGACAGATGGACCATTTGGTGGATAAGGAATGGGTTGGATGGTTGGACTCAAAGTGTTGTCACTCAGTGTCCAAGTGGAGACCAGTGGTGTTCTTCAGTGATCGGTGTTGGGACTGGTGCTGTTGAACATCTTCATTGGTGATATGGACACAGACTGAGTGAAGAAAGGATCAAGAGCAGCCCTGGGGAGAAGGACTTGGGGGATTTGGGGGTGTTTGAGGGTGGGAAGCTAAACCTGACCTAGCAATGTGTGCTGTCAGACCAGAAAGCCAACCACGTCCTGGGCTGCATCAAAAGCAGCATGACCAGCAGTTTGAAGGAGGTGATGCTCCCCCTCCACTCTACCCTCATGAGACCCCACCTGGAGCACTGCATCCAGCTCTGAGAGCCCCAACTCAAGAAAGACACTGACCTGTTGGAACAAGCCCCAAGGAGGGCCATGAAGATGATCACAGGGATGGAGCATCTCTCTTATGAAGTCAGGCTGAGAGAGTTGGGATTGTTCAGCCTGGAGAAGAGAAGAATCTGGGGAGACCTTACAGCACCTTCCAGTACCTAAAGGTGGCCAACAAGAGAAATGGGGAGGGACTTTTCACAAGTGCATGTAGTGATAGGACAAGGGGGAATGACCTAAAACTGAAGGAGAGTAGGTTTAGATTAGATATTAGGAAGAAATTCTTGACTGTGAGGGTGGTGAAACACTGGAACAGGTTGCCCAGAGAGGCTGTGGACTCGCCATCCCTGGAAGTGTTTGAGACCAGGTTGGATGGAGCTCTGACCAACCTGATCTAGTGGAAGGTGTCCCTGCCCATGGCCAGGGGTTGGAACTAAATGGTCCTTAAGTTTCCTTCTGACCCATCCATAACTCTGTGTTTTCCTTGAGCCGGGGGTTCTATGGGACAGAAGCCAAGCAGCTGTGATGAACATACCAACTTCTGGTACAGTACCAGCCTAACAGCTTACCTAAACAGCTGTGTGCAGCAAGCATGCAGTCTCTGTACTTTTATGCTCTTAAATCTTGCTTTCAAAAATTATCATAATCCTCGTTTTCCCCACAGGTGTATCTGACTGAAATTCTAGAGGCAAAACAAAATCAGAGGTTAGAAAAAAATCCTAAAAATTAATAAAAAAAAAGATGCATTGTAAAATCTTGTACAAAGTTATCAGTAAAAGCATTTTCCCCATTAATTCTTATATAAATATTTATAAACGCTCCCTTCAAAGAAATTTTAATTATTTCTCTACTTGGTTTCATCTTGGGAGGTTTTTGAATAACTCTTATCTATGAAAATTCAACTTTCAGTATCAAGTTTATGACTTAGAGCACAGTTCCTCAATAAACATTACTAAAGTCAAGAAAAGGTGTTCATATTTCTTTTTGGTTTTAAGTACAAACGAATACTGAGTGACCAGTTGCTGCTATACCTTTTTTGAATGGCTTTTTCATTGGGGGAGGGAGTTAAGCTAAGCTTCTCCTTAAGTGACACAACATTTTCTCCACACCTTGACAGATAAAAAGATGACTTCCTCAAATAATACTTCGATTCTTAATGGCTGTTTGGAGATGGAAACAGGGAGGTGGGTGGGCATAATAAATTGGCATTCTTGGGCAATACCACCTCCCATTGTTGGTTTTAGTGGAATTCTTTGGTTTTAGAGCACCTTTAACACAAACCTCCCATCTGCACACATGTGGCGTAGGCCTCATCCGTGATTAATGTGAAAGCCTCAGAGGAAGGCAGGGAAAGGCAGCACAAGCAATGCTTACAGGTCAGAAGACTTCAGAGACAAAGCCAAGCAGCCAAGCCAAGTCTCGTTAATCCAGCCCCAGGAGAGAGATGGGTATTCTGAAACTGCCACAGCTGATCAACTGGGACTGACTGTGAGCTCAGGCAGCTCAGCTGAACACCTCTGCTCTAATTAGGTTCATCTCTTTCAGAAACTAATATCCAAGGAGACACGTTTACAGATGAAAACTTCAGCAATTGCAATACAATCTCTCTGGCTTGACAAGAACAAAACAAGTGTTAGATAAGACTGATTTAATCTTGTGAAAATAGCCTTCTTTTAGTTAAATCTTATCTTCTATCTAAAACCCATCTAATCTGCATATGTATTTGTAAGATTATGTGCCAGTTGTATCTTCCAGAATAAATATCACCCTTAACATCACACTTGTTTCTTGACAGTGTCAAGCATTAGCTTCACACATATGATAAAACACCAGTCTGAACTCATTCCTGATTTTTAATGCCGGGATTGACATATTAACTGGTTTGCAGACATTGTAAAGTTAAAATGTCATGGTATTACAAGGCTAATTGTGCTTTTCTTTATTCCATCGACAAAATCATATGAGAGAGACTACTTCTTACATCTTCTTATGTCCAAGATAGCAGTTCTTATTTACAGTACCTCTAGCTGCATATCTCTTCTTGGAATAGCACAGACAGGGACAGGAAGATTGGTGCCTTTGAAGAAAGTGATGTGAAAAGGGGACCATGTGAGTCCTCTGACTCCTATTGCCTGCTTCTGTTGGGCATGGATATAAAGAGTCTTTGAAAGAGGCTGCTTTAGGTCGTCCCAAAGTCAAGCTGAGAAATCCGATGAAACTCACTCTCTTCCCTGTTAGCCACTAGAACAGGTTTTATATTCTGCAGTGTCAGGTGAATTATGGGGTTTTTTGGCAAGCAACCACTATAAAGCACTCATGAATAGAGCTCACCTTTTCAGATATTAGGTGTGAGTAACACCTCAGAAATACAATCCCCACCCAAAGAGAAGAAATTGGAAGATTTTAACTTCCAGAAAAAGAGCAAGAGAAACAAGTCTCTTTCTTTTCCTCACCCCATTCTGGATTTATTGTAAGTCTTTCTTTTGGATTTTGGTATGGTGGAGACCATCAGAGACTCTGCATTATCATGTTTATCTCCAAAAGAGATGCGAAAAGAGCATTTCAGGTTTTCATAACTTTAATTATGAAGAATAATAAGAATTTTATTATGAAGAATAAAAAATTATTCTTTATGAAAGTTCATTTTAGGTGTGAAATTAGACATTTTTAATTAGTTTTGCTCTGGTATGTCTAAGGTATCCTCTAAGAGACATATGGTGAGTTCTCTCTTATATGTTTATGTGGGTTAATGTTGTGCACAGCAGTTACTGTGCTTTTTGTATACCAAACAACACATTCTTGATCAAAGAAGAAATGAAATTCATACACAGGATTGTTTTCAAAAGCAAAAATAACAATTGCTGTATTTTGCAGATGTGATTTATACTCTAGTAGTTGAGACATAAAAAATGTATTTAAAAGTCCAATCCAGAAGAAATAAATAAATAAATCATGATGTGCATTTAGAAATTCATATTTTTCACTTATTGTCAGAATATTTACAATTATCTTGCTGGGTTTGTCTTCAACAATAGCCACTTTTTGGGAAAGGCATTTATTGTTCATGTGTATTGTACCCTTCAGCATATCAGAAACAGACTCTTGATGTTTTTACCTGTCCACCTAGTATTCTGCACACTTTACTTTTTTTTAGCACATTTTGCTTCTAACTATGGAAACATTTTTTAACTAGAAAAACAGGTAGTGTAACAGCTCAAAGTAGGTTTTTAGTGTCACCCTGTGGCAAAATGACACATTGCGAATTTCCAAGAATCAATTGCCAAAATGGAAACAAATGGTCCCACATTTTGTTTGGTTTTTTGTAACATCAGAAGTCTCACAAGATGCATTTCCCTACTTCTGACCAGTGTCACAGTGCACGGGTTCACTTCTGCATTTTGCCAACTACTTCCAAAGTTGATTTTCCAATATTCAGAAGTACACATGCCTTTTGCCCTGTGCATTACTGAATAGCTCACCCCAGTGAAAAGTTATCGCCAGTCTAATTTAGCAAGAAGTTATGTCTATTGCAAATCACTTAAAATAATTCACAACTTTTTTTTTTTTTTAATATGACAATACAATGTTCCAAGTGCTGGGACACACATTACATCAAGATTCTTTTAGAGTCTGTTTCTCCCACTAATCACCACCAGCACACATGTGGTGATGGTTTCTTACTTTTTATTTGCCCTACTACACCCACACAGCCCTTTTAAGTGTTTGGTAAGGACTCTCATGCTCTTAATTAATCAGTTCTTCAGTAGGAAATAACCCAAACTTATGTCTTTAATCTTGGAAGTCTTTCATCCTTATCCACCTTCTTTTCTCCTTCACCTTTCAGGGAATATAGTTGTTCTGATACTGTTCATTCAACTAGAAGGTTAAGGCAATTCAGGCCACATCATAAACAGTTTTCTTTACTGGAAAAGCAAATACAGGAGCACCCAGTTACACACCCAAAGCCAAACTGCTTCCTCAAGTAATCTCACTGTTTCACCTGAATATCAGTTTGGCATTTCTTTGAAAGTCATCTATTCCTAAAACTAGAAAAAAGAAGTTACTTAGCCGTAACTACCTGTTCAAGAGGGATAGCCTATGTGAATTCTCTCAACCCACTGTATCAACTTTTCTCTCTACAGTTCCTTCATGTCTTGGTACTCCTATATTAAGCAGAGAGGAAGACAAGAGCATGCAATGTATCCTTTATAAATACACATACACCAGAAAGAGATATACAACACATATTTGCCCATAGGGATACTACTGCAGATAAAAAAGTTCAGCTAGCATTGAACATTGTCCCACAGTGTATGCTTAAATACAGACAAGAGCTCTTGATAGTTAAAGTCTGGTAGACTTCAAGAATGGCTTAAACCAATGCAAATCTGGAGACAACTTGCTGCATGAAATACATCTACAGTTACCTAGTTTTTGATCACTTTCAGCTTGTTAATGAATTACATTATCAACATTTAGTTTCCATATCTTCCTAAATCCCATGGAGAGTTTCTGCGTATTTCACAAGCCTCTGTACATTTGTATTAACTCCTTCAGCCTCCTTGTGAACCTGTGAAAGCTGCTAGCATCCACAACAACCCGTGGGGAGAAATTGTGCAGCTGGGTCTTGCAAGAAGAATCATCCATTTTATCCGCTGTGCACTGGCCTCTTGTTGGCATGACCATGTAAGTATCATTGACAACGCCTGTAAGTATCTGAAGGGAGGGTGCCAAGAGGATGGAGCCAGGCTCTTCTCAGTGGTGCCCAGCAATAGGACACGAGGCAACAGGCAGAAACTGATGCACAGAAAATTCCGCCTGAATATGGGGAAGAATTTCTTTATTGTATGGGTGACTGTGCACTGAAACAGATTGCCCGGAGAGGTTGTGGAGTCTCCCTCGCTCAGATATTCAGACCCGTCTGGGCACAATCCTGTGCCACGTGCTCTAGGATGACCCTGCCTGAGCAGGGAGATTGGTCCAGGTGACAGAGTGTGGTCCCTTCCAACCTTTCCCATTCAGTGATTCTGTGACCCGATCATTCCCGCTTTTTCCCAGCTCCCTCCCGCTGCACAGTGCCATGGCTGCGCTGCGACAGGCAGGACGTCAGCAATCCCCGAGCGGCAGGAGCCCGCTCACAGCTCCCCGCCCCCATCCCTTCCCCAGCTCCACGGCGGGGCAGCGCCCGCCCCCAGCACCTCTCACCCGGGAAGCGGAAGGCGCTCCGGAGGCCACCGGCTCCAAGGACGCCGCCGGCTCCAAGGATCCCGCGGGAGCAGGGGCTGCGCTCCCCGCCGTGAGTAGCGCAGGGGTGGGCGGCGGGCGAGGGGCGCAGCGGCTCGGAGCAGCCGCCGGGGCCGAGGGGACACCGCGCCAGGAACCCCGTGGGGAAAAAAGCCAAAAAAACCCCTAACAAAGCTAGACTGCGCGAAGTAAAACCGCATTAGGAAGGCTCTGTTGAGTGAGGGGAAAATACACATTCCTTCTCTTCCTTTGGTCTTTTAGGCACCACGGACTGCGAGGAGCAGCTACTCTGACACCCCCGGATGTTTTCGGGAAGCTCCCGACAGGGCTTGAGCGGCATCACCCGGAGGAGTACCATGCCTTGGAACTGGCATGCTGCCGTGGAAAGAGCATGACTGCGTCATGCCTGCCTCTAGCATTTCATTTCTGCCGCGTCCAGCTTTAGCAGAGTGGATATTCCTTCCATCCGCTGTCCAATTATTAAAAACATGGTACTCCAGCCATCGTTAAAGAACTGCTTTCGGCTGTCCTGCGTCCTCAGGACTCCAAAAGCTGGCTTCAGGAGCACAGCTAGTGGAGCCCTCATTATCCAGTCTGTTTCTAATGACGTTTACCAAAATCTAGCTGTGGAAGACTGGATCCACGACCACATGGATTTAGAGAAGCGACAGGTCCTTTTCCTTTGGAGAAATTCCCCTGCTGTGGTAATAGGGAGACATCAGAATCCCTGGCAGGAATGCAACCTCAGGCTGTTGAGGCAAAAAAATATAAAACTAGCCAGGAGAAGAAG